TCATGTTTTAGAGTGAATTGACTCATTTGATCATGCATTGGAAGCTTTGATTTCAATTAAACACTTGCATGTTGCATGTCCATCATCTTCTTGAAGTTTTGTTTGAAAATAGGTTCAATTGACTCACCCTAGGGCTTTGATTTTACAAATTGATCTTCAAAACATGTTATATTATGGGTTTAAGTGTTTTTCCAGAAAATGGGCCCAAGAGGTTGAGTTTTGATGTGTTGAATGTTGAGTTTCATGCTTGGAGACAAATCTGGAAATTCCAGATTTTGGATCCACGCTCAAGCGAGGAACTTCACGCTCGAGCGTACACTCTGAGTTCATGCAGTCCGCTCGAGCGAGGAAAGTAACGCTCGAGCGTGAAATGCGTGTATCCAGTACTTTTCATGTGTTTACAATCTGCTCGAGCGAGGACTTGTGTCTCACACTCGAGCGGGGGTCAGGCGCCCGTCGAGCGTGAATTTTATGCATCTAGTACTTTTGCAGTTCGCTGGAGCGAGGAAAGTCACGCTCGAGCGTAAAAATCCACGCTCGAGCGAGACCCCTGTTTTCTGAAAATTTTGAAAAGTGTTTTAAAGTACATCTTTGCATCCTCATTTCATCCTAAGCATTCCTAGACCTTGTTTAAGGCATCTTAATGGGGATATTGATGTAGAACCACACCGAGTCAAGTTAGGGACTAAGTCATTGTTTCCCAAGTGTGTAACTTAGTGTGTGTTTGTTCTGTAACTGTGTAGGGTTGGCATCCGAGGACGCTCACTAGCCTATCTGTAACCCAGAACTCTGTGAGTAACAATGTTGTAAAGATATATTCAATCATGAATATTTTCTGAATGATCTACTGTACTGCTTTCTAAAATGATATTTCTTACTGAATGAATGCTTGTCCTATTTGCGAACTGTATTCGTGGCATCCATAGCAATTTACTGTTACTGTACTGTACTGCTATTGTCACAGAGATCTCTGTCGGTTCCCATGTTCGGAACCACTACTGTTTACTGATAATGATGGCCATCAATTGACTGTTCGGTCTGTGAAGACTTACTGTACTGTTTGCTATTAGATGTACCACTTATAACTGCTATGATCGAATAACTGATATACTGTTTAAATGACTGTTTTAATACTGAAAGGACATTCATTCCTAACCTCTTTACGCATATGTTATTCACTAGGCTTTAGCTTACTGTTTATATATATATGTAGGTGTCCAGGTACCGGATCGGAGCTAGGAGCGTTGGGTTAAACTCCCTTTTTGTCAAGCCAACCAACGTGCCTCACTGCGAGGTTCCAAGTGTGTCCAAGCCAAGGTTGCTTCGGGGTGTTTTAGATCCCCCTTTCTGTCTCTGTTTTGTATAGACTGTATAGACTTGTACTTTACTGTTATGTTAGGGATTTGGTCCCTAACCCGAATACCTGTATATGATGTATGTATATACTGTTTTGATTCTGAATGTGTATATGTATGAAAAGTCTTTTTGCATACAGACTGTCACAGCTCATTGGACATCTTTTTATTACTGTTTTGGCTTCCGCCATCCCCTGTACTCTGTATTACTGTTTTTACTGTTAAGCAGACCTTCGGTAATCACGGATTACTGGCCGATTACGGCGCTAAACCTATAGGGGCGGGTTTGGGTCGTGACAGAAACCTACTTCGATGGTCCGTTTAACCTTTGAGTTAATGGCGGAGGCTAGGCAAGCTAGGGCGTCTGCATGTGTGTTCTGGTCACGTGTTATCTGATTCAATTCATGATGGTCAAATTTGGCCAGCAAGGCGCTAGCCGATTTCATATAAGCCGCCATACGGTCATTTTTGGCTGCGTACTCCCCCTTTAGCTGATTGATCACCAATTTTGAATCACAAAACACCAGCAAACGCCGAGCACCCAGAAGGTGTGCATTCCTCAAACCGGCCAGAAGGGTTTCGTATTCCGCCTCGTTATTTGATGCTTCGAAGCCGAGTTTGACGGCCTGCTCAATTATTGCGCCGTCGGGAGCCATGATTACTACTCCGGCTCCGCTGTCCCGTTGATTGGATGATCCATCACAGTACAACTGCCAAATGTCTCTAACATAAATTCTTCAATTTGACTTAGGTCGAACTTCATCACATTTGAAGTCGGCAAGACCCCCAGTGAATTCGGCCACAAAGTCGGCAAGCACTTGTCCCTTGATTGAGGTTCTAGGTAGAAACTGAATGTCGTACTGGCCAAGTTCAAGAGCCCACTTTGAAACACGTCCTGATGCTTCCGTACTGCGTGGCACTGATCGGAGGGGGTAATCTGTTAGCACCCCGATGCTATGCCCCTTGAAGTAATGCATCAGTTTTCTTGCCGCCATGACTAGGGCGAGGATGAGTTTTTCTAGCAGAAGGTAGCGTGTTTCGACGTCGACCATTGCCTTGCTCATATAATATACTAGCCGCTGCTCCCCCAGCTCTTCCTTTATCAGTACGGCGCTGACGGGCCGGTCGGAAACTGCCAGATACAAAATGAGCGGGTCACCTGCCGAAAGTGTTGTCAAGAGTGGAATTGATCGGAGGTAGGTTTTGAGGCCATTGAAAGCAGCTTCGCACTCGGCGGACCATTCAAAAGCCTTGCCCTGCCGTAGTGTATAAAAGAATTGTCGGCAGCGGTCTGTGGAACGACTGATGAACCTGTTAAGTGCGGCGGTCATCCCCATTAACTTCTGAGGGGAGCCAAGTTCCAGGATTACTGTGGTTTGCCTTGGATTGGCTTCGATTCCTCGGTGGTTGACAATGTAACCCAAGAATTTGCCAGAGCCGATCCTAAACGCACATTTGGAAGCGTTCAGCTTCATTCCATATTTGCGTAGAATGCCGAATGTCTCCTCCAGATCAGCTATATGATTCTACTTTTCCTTGGATTTGACCACCATGTCGTCAATGTACACTTCCATAGTATGGCGGAGTTGCTCCTAAAACATGGTGGTGACTAGTCTCTGGTAAGTTGCCCCTGCATTCTTCAGCCCAAAAGGCATAACCTTATAGCAATAGGTTCCTCTTGGGGTGAGGAATGCAACTTTGTCTTGGTCCTCCGGATGCATGGCAATTTGATGGTAGCCTCTGTAGGCATTGAGGAAGCTCATACGATGATGACGTGCTGTAGCATCTACCAGTTGGTCTATCCTGGGGAGAGGAAAACAATCTTTGGGGCAGGCTTTGTTTAGGTCCGTGAAATCAACTCAGACTCGCCAGGTCTCATTTTTCTTATTCACAACCATAGTATTAGAGAGCCATGTAGGGTAAGTCACTTCCCTGATTGCCCCGGCGTCAAGCAACAGGTCAACCTCTTCAACAACTGTGGCAGTGTGCTCTGCGGCTGATCACCGGCTTTTCTGAATGATCAGCTTGCATTTAGGGTCAACATTTAAACGGTGTTGCGAAACAGATAGATCTACACCCGGCATCTCATATGGAGTCCACGCAAATACATCAAGGTTGCCGAGCAAGAAGGAAATTAACCGCTGTCTATCGGCTTGATTGAGGGAGGCGCCGACCATGAAGAACTTGTCTGGGTTGCCGTTGATTTCAACTCGATCTAGGTCTTCCGTGGCCTTTTCATTTGGGAGCCGCCCAACATCGTCGAGGCTCTCCCGATCTGTCAAACTTCCCATAGACGACTCCAATTGTACGGGGAGCAAATATTTTGGCAAGCCCGTACTCCTTTCTTCCAAGCTTCTGCTTGTCCGATCGACCTGCGAGCACAACGGCGGTGAGCTACCCGGCGGTGTATGGCCGGAATACCCCTCCGACGATCAAGTTAGACACACACAGGGACAGAGAGAGAGAGAGGATTGAGTGTTTAGTGTAAATCTCACCAAATGTTCATCTGTCTCAGCGTGGGGGGCGCAGGCTCGCTTATATACCTTCTGCGCCCCAAATCTACTCTCATTAGTCTCTCGATACGTGGTGCTGCTATCCCATCTGTCGGCACGAATCTAGCTGAACATCACCTAACTGCCAGCCCACACCACCGGGGGCTCGGCAGCCGGGCTGCAGCATCTCGGCTGTCAACGGCCGCGCTGCGCAGCTAGCTAGAGCGCGCCGCTCGCCAAGCTTAATGACGACCGAGCTCGGTTGCATTCCGGCTTAGCCAAGCTCGGGACAAGTCATGCTGGTTAGCCGTCAGCCTTCCTGCCGAGTTAACGCATAAACCGTGGAACCCAGTGAGGCAGCGGACATCTCGGCCGAACCTCACTTGACCGCTAGTACGACATCAATTATGCAACTATGCCATTACCGAGCAACTATGCCATTACCGAGCAAGTAGCTCGGTTTCACAGCAACTGTGCCATTACCGAACCAAAATCCTTTCTAGATGGGCTAAGGCTGCCACGGCCCAAATGTGTTTGGCCCACAATTTGTCCGGCCCTTACCACGGCCCAATCCAAATCATAAATCTCCCTCTCACTTTATATATGTAGATGAGGCATGCTGTGATTGTAGTATGTACATAAGGCATATAAGAATTGTAATATTCTAAAGTTTTAAACTTTCTCACTTTGGATGAGGCATGCAGTGATTGTAATATTTTTTTAAGTCATTAACTATAATACTTTCTTCTTATTTATTTATTTTTTTTTGAGAAAGTGCACAAGTTAAATTGTGTTGAAAATTTATAAAATTTTAAACCGCCAAACCAATTCGCATTCATCCGCCAAACCGCCAATTCGTTCAATCCACATCCGTCGGATTGGCGGACGGATGCGGATTAATCTTCTCTAATCTATCAATCTGACAGGCGGATGACGAATTGAAAATTCCGTAACCGCAACCGACCCGAGCTCACACCTAACTACGACGTCGTCTAGTGAGCACTCCACGAGTCTCTTCCCGCAAAACACAGTTCGTTGCTTCTCGGTTGTCGGTTCACCCCATTTCTCTGTTGATCAGAGCTCTCTTCTGTATCACAAATCACACCCCTCAACAAACCCTAGAACAAGAAGAACACGAAGAAGAAGAGCAGCCATGGCGATCCGCCACCTCCTAACCCTAGCTCGCCGTTCCCATTCTCCTCTCACCCACACCCTCCGCCCATTCTCCACCTCCTCCGCCGTCTCTGCCACCGCACCACCACCACCAACCCCCTCTCCTCCTCCTCCAAACGTCATGATCTACGACCGCTTCGCCGAATCCGTCAAACACAAGCTCAAACAACTCGACAACCCCGACCATAGGTTCCTCAAGCACAACTCCCCTCACCCAACCCTAACCGATCACACCTCAATCCTCGCTACCCCTCTCACCCGCGTCACCACTCTCCCCAACGGCCTCCGAGTTGCCACCGAGTCAACCCTTGCCTCCAAGACCGCTACCGTCGGTGTATGGATCGACGCCGGAAGTCGGTTCGAGACCGATGAGACCAACGGAGCTGCTCATTTTCTGGAGCATATGATTTTCAAGGGGACTGAGAAGAGGACCCCGAGGGAATTGGAGGAGGAGATTGAGAATATGGGGGGGCATTTGAATGCATATACTTCGAGAGAACAGACTACGTATTATGCTAAGGTTATGGATAAGGATGTGCCTAGAGCTTTGGATATATTGGCGGATATATTGCAAAATTCCAAGTTTGATGAGAAGAGGATTAGCAGAGAGCGTGATGTGATTTTGAGGGAGATGGAGGAGGTAATCATCATTGACTAATTTGTGTCTTAATTCAATTTTCCCCATCAAAATTGATTTTTTGGTATTTCTTAATTTTGGTTGATGATGAGGAGATATTACTAATAATCATTGAATAAGTTTGTTTCTTAATTCATTTTTTCCCATAAATTTTGTTTTCTGGGTATGGCTTAATTAGGCTGAGATTTTTTATACTAAATTTATCTTCTTTATTTGTTTATTATTTTTTATGCGTTGTGGAATAGTTAGAGAATTCATGAATTCAAAATGTTTGCGTAAAGTGTTTTTTTTTTTTTCCCTCGTTTGTTTGAGGTTCTCACAAAACCAGTTGTTTGATTGGTACATGGTTCATTTAAAAATTTAGGCCTGTAGTGTTCTATTCTGACCAGTGATTTGTAAATTGATTAGTAGGATCGACATTTGAGAAAATGATATTTTTTGTTCTCTCTCCCAAATAGTTATATAATATATGGGGAAAATAGCAGTGCTGAAGTTTAATGTTTAAGGCATGGCAGAAGTTGATTGAAATTAGATTTTGAATGATCTGATTTGGGGACTAATAGTTTTGAGTATTCTTTGGTGGTTTCTTCATTTCATCAACTAAATCATCTCTAGATGTTCTTTTGATTCAGTCAAATCAAATTACTTTATTATTAATTGTTTGAGTGCTTGCTCCTTGTGATTATTGTATTATTCTTTATAGGTTGAAGGCCAAACAGAGGAAGTTATTTTCGACCATTTGCATGCAACCGCTTTCCAGCACACGCCTTTAGGCAGAACCATTCTTGGTCCTGCTCAAAATGTCAGGACTATCACCAAAGATCATCTTCAAAAGTATATATTGACACACTACACTACATCCAGAATGGTAGGTGGTGACATAAAGTTATGAGCATTTTGTCTATTCGTAATTTATTGCTAGTTCTATTTAGATGTTAACATGTTGGCTTTGCCTTCATTCATCTATCAATTATTCAATGCCATCAATTTACTTTCTTGAAGTCCTAAACATTGGGTGTTCTTCCTGGAGCTACTAGGTAATTGCTGCTTCTGGAGCTGTGAAGCATGAGGACCTTGTTGAGCAAGTGAAGAAGTTGTTTACCAAATTGTCATCGGATCCAACCACAACTTCTGAATTAGTTGCTAAAGAGCCGGCAATTTTTACAGGTTCCGAGGTGTGCTTGTTTCACAGGAATGCTTCTTGAATTGTTATCAGGGCAACAATACAATATTCTCGTTCTGCACTTCTTAACAATTTAACAAAAAATTATTTACTGGTAATTGTTGTGTGAAAATCAGGTGAGGATCATTGATGATGATATGCCTTTAGCACAATTTGCGGTTGCTTTCAATGGGGCTCCTTGGATGGATCCAGATTCCATTGCTTTGATGGTCATGCAGTCTATGTTGGGATCCTGGAATAAGCATGCAGGTGGTGGGAAGCACATGGGGTGAGTCATTGGACGTCATTTGTTGGGAACTAATAAATAAAGCTGAATATTCACTGTTGAATTATAACTTGTGAGCAGGTGTGTTAACTAGTTTTGATAATTTGTAAACAGTTCTGAGCTTGCACAGAGGGTTGGCATAAATGAGATTGCTGAGTCCATGATGGCATTTAACACCAACTATAAGGACACTGGTCTTTTTGGCGTTTATGCCATTGCTAAGGTGAGATGCATTCCAGAATTATGATTTTGTTTGTACGAGGGCCTTTTTCCTCTTGTTGTAAGAGTGTTGTTCTATCTTTTTTTCTTTCATTTTTTTATAATTTTTTTTTTGCTGTTATTCCCATGACTCAGATTTAAGCTTCTCTTCTGAAATTATTGGGTTTTATTTTCCCTTTCACTCTTCTATCTTTCGTTCCTTTCCCCCATTCACTTTTTTGATGGGTGACATGGGTCTAGGGTGAAACATAGTTGTTGAGATTGGGTACCCTTTGGTTGCTTCCATTTTGGGAGAGCTCAGACTTGAAACCATAGTCAATGAAAGCTTTGGTTGGTACCATTAATGGTAATTTTAGGCTTGCCTACAAAGGGGGGAAAATGGTGTACTCTGCTTAAGACTCTAGTTAAAAGATTTGTTCCATTTTGTGTCCAAGTTTCAAATTTTTAAAAATTTAATTATTATTTTTCCTTATTACTCATTTTTAAATATTTTTTTGGTAAACTGCCTATTCAAAAAAATTTCTTTGAACTATGTATATACAGTCATCTGTCAAAATAATATTTTTTCCCACAAATGAATCAGGATCAAACACTGAATTTCTTAACACACCTTCGGCAACTCTTTAGATTATAAGGGTAGAATGTTTTGTACGTAAGTAATTACTAAATAGTTTCTGATACATAGATGCATGTGCAATCACTTATCGAGTTTATATCGAGTTTCTGATACATAGATGCATGTGCAGACACCTTGAGCAGCAATATTGTCTGTTAGGTTTTAATACTTGTGTCTTTTTTCTTGCGTGTGTTTCATGCTGAACTTTATTGATTGATTAAAAGTGACAATTATTGCTGCAATTTATACTTCAATAATTGTAGTTATTTATTTTATTGTAACAGCCTGATTGTGTTGATGATTTAGCCTATGCTATTATGTACGAGCTGAGCAAGTTATGTTATCGAGTTTCGGAAGCTGATGTTACTCGTGCTCGTAACCAGGTTAGCTACCAGTTTTTGTGCTTTCCCTTGTTGTCTGTTTTTTATGCGCAGGTTTTATCTATTTTAATGAACGTAAACAGCATATATGTACACATATCAATACTCACGAAAACACTAATATCCTAGTGATTTATGATTTGTAATGCACATCCCATTCCAAAATAGTGAATTTAGCGAGCTGAAGTGATCCAAAAATACTTTCCTATTCATTTTCTTAACATTTCCATAGAAGAAAAAGTTGAATATGATGTTTGTATACGAGTTGCACCCCCTAGGTGCCTCTTTTTTATATAATTTTTTTTTATTGGCTATTGAATATAATCAATTAAAATCTAGAGAGAGTGGTGTTTTGGTAGGTATAAAATGTAGGAAAAAGGGTGTATAATACTCTTGGAAATATGTTTTCATGTGATATCTAATGTTAAAATCCACCTACTCTCCACCTACTTCACCCACTTAAACCTACTCCACTAAACCTAACCCACTACACCACTACCACCTCCACTTCACCTACTCCTTACCTACTACACACTCACCCTCTTCTATATATAGGAATCATGAATCATTGTAATTGATATCAATATAAATCAATCAATAATACAATTCTCTATTTCTCTTTATACATTAAATTTCTACATCTAATAGTGTGATCTATATCAACTTACCATTACTTTTTAGAGCATTTGCCAAATTGCCATACCATGTTCTCGTTAACATTGATTATATATATTTGATCCAAAAAGTAAAGAGCATGTATTTCTACCACTCTATTTTGTGGATGATATACGCGCCATATATAAACCAAACCAAGCCTTAAGTCCCATCAAATGGGTTGGCTACATGAATCTTTCTTCTCCATGCGGCTCTATCAAAGGCCATTTTGTTAGTCAAATTAAGTGGATCCATATCTCTATTTATAACGTTAGCCAACGTTGGGGGGTCAGGTAAAATACTAGATGATGAAGGTAAGATGTTCCAAAATAGTTTATGATGGTGGGTCACAGAAGACATCTACTCCACTTTTCTGACTATCAAATGTTGTGCGGTAGATGAACTTATATCTTGGGGTCCATCGTAATTCATACCGCAATCTCTGGGTATCCATTATTGTTGTATGTGATCTGCTCTGGTTTAGAAGAGGAAATTAATTTTATCTAAGCCAGCTGTTCATTTATGTTGTACTGCAGTTGAAATCTGCTCTGCTGCTTCACTTGGATGGAACCAGTCCTATTGCTGAAGATATTGGGCGCCAGGTAAAACACTAGATGCATTCATAAGTCAATAAAATAAAAAGTGTCTTTTTAGGATTTGCATACAGTTTGGTTTCAATGCGACTTGGGCCGACTAAAAAGAAACTTGTTTTTTTGAATCTCACCGCATGGATCATCTATTTGAGCGTCTGCTAAGACAGTAGATCTTATAAAATGTCTCTGAAATGTGAACTCTGGTTATATAACAGTAACTAGTCTCTTTAAAATGTTTGTGAGAGAATAAGAGATGCTTTAGTTATTAAATTCTTTCCTTAAAATGTAAAGTGCTTCTTGTTTGACTTAATTCTTTCTGTTCTTGCAGCTACTTACATATGGACGAAGAATCCCGTACGCAGAATTGTTTGCCAGGATCGATGCTGTTGATGCTAGCACTGTCAAACGTGTTGCAAACCGTTTTATTTTTGACCAGGTAAGGACAAATGGATCCTGTTGCTAATTGCAAACTCAAATACTACGAGGGCAGAATGTTGAAACTTTCCCCAGGGTTCTCATTTGATTCGATAGTTGGTCTAAACTATCTTTGGTCTTTGTTCGGTCTTTTCAGGATGTTGCCATTGCTGCCATGGGGCCTATCCAGGGTCTACCCGATTACAACTGGTTTAGACGCAGGACCTACTGGCTCCGTTACTAGGTTCTTTTCTTCTGTTGGGTTTTCTTCTTTGTTTTTGCTCACTGTTTAACCTTCTCAAATCAAATTGTCTAAAAAAAATCTTGACAGGCCCCTTTGAGGGTGGCCTTTTTATTTATCTTTTTTTTCTGGATTTTCTTTCCTGTAATATGCCTCCATCAGTCGAAAATAAATATATGCTGGATTCAGTTATTTGAGCCAAGGGAGATCCAATTGTATTCCATCCCATCAAGTTGGTTGTAGCCAGGCAGGCATTGAACGTTTGATTGTTTTTGAGATGCCGCTCTCCTGTAATTATTCAAATAGTCTGCTGATTTATGTTTGGCACTGCATCACTTTCATATGGCAGAGCGATGTCATCATGTTTGACATCCATCTTCATTAGTCGTCAACTACCAATTTTGAAGTCCATTAAACAATTGAACGAGTTCAATCCTGATATGTTTGGCATTGTCATGGCTGGGCATCATTTTCCCAAAATATGTGATCAGTCCTTGAAAATAAAAATGTCTGAGATTTTTGTCTTTCAAATGATCAGAACTTTTGTGCATTTAAAAATTGTACGCCTTTCAGGTGATCAATTTAAGTTGATCAATAAAGTTTGCATTCATGGCCCCCCCAAGAAATGGAATTATCATTACCATTTAACCCAAGCAAGTTCATTTAAATCCGACAGTTCTGGTTCCTCTAAAATGCGAGTGTGTACCCAAGTAGATGGAAGACTGGTACTTTGTGAAACCAATGATATCATCCACCAAAAGTGTTGTGAAGCTTTGTCTTCACCAATTGCATAATGCAACTATATGATAATTGCTCTATTTTGACAACTTCATTATAAAATAAAATTCATAGAAAAAAAAAAAAAGAAAAAGAAAAAAAAAAGTAACATTCAATACATTTTAATTTTTTGAAAATTAAAATTTTCATTTTTCATTTTTTTTTGTTTTTAGTAAATATTTTTTAAATTTTATTTATTTATTTATTTTTAGATGCACTTTACTTAGATATATCTAAATAGTAAAATATTTTAAAAAATTAATAAATACACAAAAATATACTGAATTTTTTTTTTTTGTATTTTTTTGATACTTAGTGTATTTTTTAAAGATTTTTTTCACAAATATTATACTTTTTAAGTGTATTTATATTAGATGTGTTTAAAAATTACAAAAATTGCTTAAAATATTAAAAAAATTCATTGAAAATATTAAAATACAAAAAAAAAAGAGTAGAATTTTCTGTAAACTATTTTTTGAACCAGAACCAAGTTATTCTTATAAATAAATATAGGGTAAATTACACTGGCACCCCCTGAGGTTTATGTTTATTACAATTCTCCCATTCCCTTTTGGAAATTACATCTCCCCCTTAAGGTTTAAAGTTTCATTACAGATTCCCCCCATCAGCAATTTAATTTTTTTAAATACCAATTTTATCTTCATTGGGTAAATTACATTGACATCCCTCACATTTTAGAAATTACAATCCCCTTCCTAAGGTTTAAAGTAGCATTACCAATTACTCCATCGGTTAGTATTAGTTGGAAAAAAAATTCATTGAATAAAAAAATTAATTGAAAAAAAATTATTTGAAACAAAATTTTATTAAAATTTTTGTTTAAGAACCAATGTAAACTTATTTTTTAAATTTATATTTTTTCCTCATATTTACAAACTGAGACAATTATTCATAAACCAAAAAAAATTATCAAATAAGTTTTTATGACAGTTTTTTTAATTTTTATAAATATAAATTGAAAACTGAAAGCAAAATGGTTACCAAATAGGCCTTAAATGGTAAAAATGTCGTAAAATTAACAAATAATTAAATAAGTTACCAACGTAAGAAATGATTTATCAAAAGATTCTTAGGCTATGCATGGTTTGATTTTTAGATTTTTTTTAAAAAATAATTAATTTGGTTAAGAAATAAAAAATAAAAAATAATTATCATTTAAGGGTAAAAAATAATCATCATTTTAACTGTTGGGCAGGTTATACACATACGTATAACTGTTTCAATTTAATTTGTAAAAAATTATTTCTAACCACTCGAAAGATAAAAATTATATAAAAATTAGAATTATTTTTTATTTTTTATTTATTAACCATATTAATTTTTAATTTTTAAAAAAATTTCTAAAAATCAAATCATACATAGCCCAAAAATCTTTTGATAAGTCATTTTTTATGTTGGTAACTTATTTAATTATTTGTTAATTTTACGATATTTTTACCATCTGAAACATGTTTAGTAACCATTTCATTTTCAGTTTTCAATTTATATTTATAAAAAATTAAAAAAACTATCATAAAAACTTGTTTGATAATTTTTTTGGTTTATAAATAGTTGTCTTAGTTTGTAAATTTGAGGAAAAAATGTAAATTCAAAAAATGAGTTTATGTTGGTTTTTAAAGGGAAATTTAAAAATTTTATTAACAAATTTTTTTTTCAATTTATTTTTTTTTTCAATGATTTTTTTTCAACTAATACTAACTAAGGGGACAGTTGGTAATGCTATTTTAAACTTAGGGAAGGGATTGTAATTTCTAAAATGTGAGAGGTGTCAATGTAATTTACCCAATGAGGGCAAAATTGGTATTTAAAAAAATTAAATTGCTGAGGAGGAGAATCTGTAATGAAACTTTAAAGCTCATAAGGGAGGTGTAATTTTCAAAAATTGAAGGGAGAACTATAATAAATATAAATCTTAGAGGGTATCAGTGTGATTTACTCATAAGTATATCTTCATGGATATTTTTATTTTAAGATGAAAAGTTTATGTTAGGTCATATCATCATAAAAGTTTTATTTGTATATCACTACTCTATCAATAAACCCTTAAGAAACTAACTAATTTTATTTTATTTGTTTCTCTTCCCATCTAATTCTAAACCAAGTGTCATTATATTTAATAGGCCATGTTGGGGATGTAGAGATTTTAGCAAAAGAATTAAAAAGTTATTATAAATTATTAAATTATTATTTTTATTTTTTCTATACACCTGTGTAAAAAATTACTAAAAAAAATCAATTATCAAAAACCCTTAATACTAGAACACTAAAAATTGACATTCAAACAATTATTCACTTATTTATTCATAATCCTACATCTTTTAAATCACACAACTTATAAATTATTATTATTCATATTATCTGTCATTTTTATTAGTAATATTTTTATTTATAGAGTTATAAAATTAATCCATACCCCTGCCTGCCCATTAGTAATTGGGCCCCCTGACCCGTTTCACTACCCGGAATAAAAAAACAAAAACAAACACAGAAAAGGATAATTCAAAAGTCACTCCAGTAGTAACCCAGACAGTTTACGACACCCTCTATATTGCGCTAGGGTTTTCGTTCGATTCCCCAGTTCCCGCGCTCCTTCTGCAATCCGAATTCCCATTTCCAGGTAATTCGATTATCCATTCTCACTATACCTTAATCTACTGTGCATCTTCAAATTCAATTTTTTATTTTTATTTATATATTTTTTATGTAAAGAATTTCGAATTGGTATTAGAAAATTTTCCATTAAAACAAACAGGAATTGTTAATTAGGTCATTGAAACGCTTCTTTGTTACCCATTATGCGTGTAAGGGCATTTTGTTTCCACCGTATTGGGACAATCTATCCAATTTGATTAATAGTCCTAAACCAAATGTCAAAACAAACATAGGATGATTGGGCCCACGGATTAATAATCCTAATCCCATACTTTAATCCTTCCAATCAAACATGCCCTTTATGTAAAGAATTTCGAATTGGTATTAGAAAATTTTCCATTAAAACAAACAGGAATTGTTAATTGGGTCATTGAAACGCTTCTTTGTTACCCATTATGCGTGTAAGGGCATTTTGTTTCCACCGTATTGGGACAATCTATCCAATTTGCAGTGTAATTGTTTCTTGATTTATACTTGTGTTTATATTGAATTTTCTTGCCTGTTATTTTGCGCACAAAATTAGTGTTTTTTTTTGGTATTACTGAACTAGTTTTCTTTTCTAAGTAGTGATTGCATAAAACGACAAGTGAGACAATTTTTGTGTCATTTACTCCGATTGTTTGGGCAGAAAACATTTTTCTGTCTTTGGTGGTGGCATGGTGCTGGGGTGGCAGTGGTGGTAATGGAAACTGTGATGGTGACAGTGGTAGTGTGGTGACATTGGTAAGACTTGAGTTGGAAAATATTTTCCGCCTTTCAAAATTAAAAAAATATTTTCTGCCCAAATATGTTTTTTTTATTTATTTTTTCATTGACCATGAAAAATATTTACTGTTGACTTTCCTTTTCCATTGTACCAAATGTCAGAAAATACATATGTCCTTTTCATAAATTACCATAAAAAATGCAAAAAAGTCTTGCTTTCACTCAATCTTTAATTTTCCTTAATGAAAGCCGAAAACAAAAATAAGTTAGGGAATACGTAACCAACAAACGTAGGTAAATGCATATTTTTTATTGATATTTTGTGACTATATTGCCTCTTATTCTGACTTGAGCTTATGCTTGATAAAGTGTTCTTTGGTAACAGTGTTTGCATAACTTTCCATGTTTAGATTTCCTGACCTTTATATATGATTGACATTGTTTGTCATTCTATTTTTCAGATGAGTCATCCGCTGGATCATCATTCAATGGACCATCGTAAGTAACTATCTATCATATTATAGTAACTATCCTCACATTGTTGTCTGATCTAACACAATTAAAATTAAATTGAAGTATAATTGATATGGATTTTAGCTACATCTTTTAAATCACACAACTTATAAAATTGATATGGATTTTAGCTACAATCTCTTCATATATATATATTTGCCTATGTTTATGTCTATATATGATATATCCATTTATAGTTCCTATGAGTCATTGATAAGCTTAATTTTTAAATGCAATTTCTTTGTGGTTTTGTATGTCATTTCTAGAAATTGTCATGTCACTAATGGGTTGGTTTATGCTTCTTTTTTTGGGGCTGTGAAGAACATGCAATCAGAGGTTCAGAGGTTTTTGTTGGTGGTTTGTCCCGTAGTACAACCGAAAGCAAGATTCATGAGGTTTGTCATTTACTTTGTAGATTGCTATTTTTTTGTTGAAGCAATAGATGAGTTATACATTGGTGCCAACTACAAAGTCTTCTTTGAAGTCCTCACGACTTAGGCCTCATTTGGGAACCCTCATTTTTATCCAAAAAGCCAAAAAGTTACTAAATTAGCCAAAAAGCCAACAATCCATACCAAAAAGTCAAAGATTCTCTTTTCTCTCTACTTTTTGCACATCTTTTTTTAAAAAGCCAAAAAGTCATCCCAAACATATTAGTTTTTTTTAGTTCATATTTTAGCCAAATAGCTAAAAATGTACTAACTTAGCATGTTCCCAAACGAGGCCTTAATACCCTTACAATTCTTTCTTAATCAAACTACATGATTGGTTGATTTTACAAGTATTGAATTTGACTATACCTGACTATCATATTGCTATGCATTTCATTGAGGAAATGGCTTTTCATAGAGCCAACCGTAGATGGATCCATCTAGCCAACCCCTAGTAATCAGGATTAAAGCTTGTTTGTTGAATTGAGTCGCAAAAGACCCTATTTTATGAATTAAATTGCTCATGTGAGTGTATCGAGTAAGATATCGTGAATCTTGTGGAGTTCTAATGATAAGTGATACCCTACTAGGATTTGGACATTGTATTTTAGTAACTAATGTCCCATCAGGATTCTTGTATTCTTGATGGCGGTTGTAGGACATAGTTGACACATAGACAAGCTAAGATATATCTCGGTTTGGCCTAGCGGTACTCCTGGCCACTTCTCGGAGTGCGGTCCCATCCCAAAGTATATTTACCCGTCAAAGGTATAGTAACATGTTGTCCAGTAATAAGAATGAAATATTTTAGGTTGGAGGAGTCAAGGTTTGTAGTAGCTTGACTAGATGACACATGTTGTTACCTTAACTATATATTTGTCTCTTTCAGGTATTTTCTACTTGTGGGGAAATTATGGAAGTACGTCTAATAACGGACCAGAAAGGCAATTCCAAGGTTTTTCCTTTTCTCTTCCTTTTTTTTTTCCTCTTTAGTTTTTTGTTTTTTCCGGTTGTGTTTATTTTGGTATTCTTATCCTTTCTTTAAATGTACGTCTGTTGTGCTCTTACCATTTCATTAAAATAATCATCTGGGTATCCTGTTCATTTGTTACACAGGGATATTGCTTCATACGTTTTGCAATGAAAGAGGCTGCAGACAAAGCTGTGAAGGAAAAATCTGGAATTACGGTAAAAGCAAAAACTGGGCAGATTAGGCGAATAATGATAATTTCATAGGGGAAAACTACTTATTTACTCTTTCCATGTTGAGTTTGGAATTATTTTTTCATTGCGATGCCTTTACCTTTACCGCATAAGACTGACCAAATTGTGGGCAATGCAATGGATTTCAAACTTCAAAAGATAATGTTAGGGTGGATTGATACAGTTGAAGCTGTGTGTAAACTAGCTTTATATTTCAGTAACTCTTAGTCTTTTTTACATGGACTCCTCTAAATTGGTGAATGACCCATGTCAGACGATTGATGGTTGGGTAAGGGTGTGAGATATATTCTAATGTGGTTAGTTGCAGATAGACCAAACAAGTATTTATAACTTATAAGTAATTGAGTTTATTATATAGCTATGCATAAAACTTCCATTTTATACCTAAAATGTTATATTTTAGTTTTTACACATCACTTTACCCTTGAATATTTAAAAAGTATGAAATATAGCCATGTCATTTTTTTAATAAGAAACAAATAATTTTTTTATTAATTAAAAAAGAAAAGATACAAGAGGATGCGAGGACAAGAAGTCCATGAAAAATAGAAAAAAAAAAAAAATACAAATTACACAACTCTCAAAATCCATGTTAATAAAAAAGAAAGTGACATTAATTATAGAAGTAGTCTTTTCTTAAATCTGCATAATTTATGATGTATTGGGCCATTATAGTTAAATTCATTATGACTTTTTTGGTTGCTTATCATTTCATCCATAACTTACAGGATGTTCACAACTAATCTGTTTTTAACTCGTGGGCCTTTATGTTTCAGCTGGATGAGAAAAAGATTGGTGTTCTTCCATCTAACGAACAAAATTCTTTATATTTGGGAAACCTTCACAAAGGTTGGTTTTATTTTCACACATTTCAGTTTCTAGTATCTAAGGTACATTTGCAAGTGCCAATGCTAGGTACTATATGTTTAGTACTTTTGAAGTTCTTTGCTTGCATCTCAAAGCAAGAGCCATGGGATCTTTTTGTGCCCCCTTCTGTCTCCTTCATGGTTTTGTTTTATCAACCAGTTTTTCACTTCAGTGGAATCTTTTTGTTGCCCCCTCCTAGGTTTTCTTTTATCATCCAGTTTTTTAATATATGGATTTGTTCCTTTTTTCGGGGTTTTTTTTTTTTTGGGTGGGGGGGTGGTGGTTATATGCTTTTTTGGTTTCTGATGACATTGTTTTTATTGGTATATGTGTATCGGTGGAAGTTTGATAATTCTATTCGTAGTCATTACTTTTATTATAGCTTTGTCCTTATGAAATAATATCATTTCCTTTTTCATGTCAAATAAAGCATTTTCGTACTTTTATTTTGTACCGCATGCTTTATGGAACTTTGTTGTGTGTGAAAATATATTGATGTTATTGTCTTCTCATGTATCAGATTGGAGTGCAGATGAATTTGATAAAATTGTACGCCAGGTATGTGTTTCAGTGGGTTATTTGAAATTGATGTTGACTCAGATAGGCTACATTTGAATATTTTTTTTGCATGATAGGCTTTTCCAGATGTTGTATCTGTTGATCTTGCGAGGCCCTTCAGCAGTGGAGACACCCCTCTTGGTCAAAAGCAACAGAATCGGGGTTTTGCTATTGTGAAGTTCTCATCACATGCTGTAAGTTGCTTTTTCTTTTAGTTTGATCGTTATTCATTTTCAATCTTGGAACTGTTCCTTTTTTTGAAAATTGCATCACATTAATTGACTCATTTGTTGCATCTCAAATCATACAGGGTAGAAGCTCAGGTTGGTGGTTTTGATTCTGGTTCCATCATCGATCTTTCCTTTGTCACTTAAATTTTCTTTTTTAACAAGTTAAAATCGAATCTTAAAAGTGAAAACTATGAATCCGTTCATACGAAGGAATCTAGTTTCTATTCAAAATTCAGACGTGATTTGGGAGAAGGATTAACCTCCCCACGCACCAGACTTGAAGCTCCAAAATGCTGCCTTTATTACTTTATGAATCAGCTCCTCCTAATGACTGCTAATTAATTACCCTCTTCCTAAATGTACCAGAACAGCAGCTGCATCCCAAGTCTTGCTTGTCCATTAGTCCTTCCTCCAACTAAGAATTAGGTCCACTATTCTTAGCAATACCCACTACATCTCCAAAAAAAACAGCAGAAGGGACCAAACCTCCCTGGCCGGTGGCCACCACCTGATTGCAATTCCCTAGCCTCCTGGCCCATAAAAGACCAGTTAGGCCAAATCTTTCCTTAATTTGTTATATTCTTCAGTGTCTTAATCTTCACAAAGAAATGCACCTTGGGCAAAACTCCAGCTCCTTAGAAATTAGATGCACTTTTAAGAAAAGGTGATCTGCGGTTCTAACCAACTTCTGATGATAAGATTTTACCTGAAACCTTATGCATATTCCTCCAGAATTTAACATCCCAACTCACTTTCTTCCTATGATGCTCTGATAATCTGCTAGAAGAGCATCCTTAACTGCCCAAGTTAAAATAACTTGAAAAATAACATCCATAAATATATTAATATTGCTTGAAAACTTGCCGAAGTTGGTTAAATTGTTCTATAACAAACTTGAAATTTGAAAGGGGGAGTTATGGGGTCAACTCTCAGTTGGGATAGGCTGTGTAATGTCGCAAATGGCTTAATATCAAAATCATATGTCAACATTTTTTGAAAATTTTGAAACCTTTCTTATGTGGCATCCATGGTTCTTTGTATTCAATTTTATTGCCTTTTGTTTCTGATAAAGGTCCAGTTTGTTTGCTATTTCATTTACGAGTTTGTAAAAGCTACATACCTAGTCCTATTTGTTTGATCACCAAGACTTAGAGGTGCGATAAAATATCTGTACCAATTGATATTATAAGATTTTATAGTACACTACTTTGTAGTTGCCGTTGTAAAAATAGGTTTTGTTCCCTTGATTGGTCAGGTTTCTTTGTGTCATTTAAATTTTTGTTTAGTTATCATGGCATTTAGGAGTTCTGCTTCACTTGATAAATTTCCAAATAACATCTGTGCTCTGGTGCAAGTAGCCATTATTTTGAGTTTGTCCCACTAAAACACAATTCCCCCCAAAGAAATTTAAAGTTAACTGCTAACAACTCAATCAGCAATGTGGGGTTTCTTCTAGTTAAGTTCTTTAATGTGGCAAATAATGATCACAAATTTAAAGTTAACTGCTAACAACTCAATCAGCAATGTGGGGTTTCTTCTAGTTAAGTTCTTTAATGTGGCAAATAATGATCACTAGTTAGTTGTGACAATTCAACAGGCAGGTTGCCCCAAACTATATAAAGGATTGAATTAATCTGTACCAACTGTCGGGGAACTTCTTTGTACTCAATATATATATATATTTTTAATTCACAGTCTGCGCTCCATATTTATGGTGTTTCGTGTTTGAAATTATAAAATGTACTTCCTATGAAGGTGATTTTTGGTTTTTCTTCCCTTGAGTTATTTGTCGCTACAACTGTTGGAGAACTTCTTTGTACTCAATATATATTTTTTTTTAATTCACAGCCTGCGCTCCATATTCATGGTGTTTCATGTTTGAAATTATAAAATGAACTTCCTCTGAAGGTGATTTTTGGTTCTTCTTCCCTTGAGTTTTTTGTTGCTACATCCGATCCTTTCACATTGCTAAGTGTACATTTTGGATACTTCTATGAATGTGTTCCTCCCAACCTTAGAGAACTCACGGTGTGTCTTGCATTTTTACTTGGAGTTACTGGTGAGGGGTTTGCCTCATGAATTGCTTGCTGTCTGGGGTATTCCATTGGTCTCTTTTTATCAGATTTGTTCTTAAGTTGGCTTGGCTCCTTATTCCTGTTAGTGACGGAGCTGCTTCTTTTTGCTTTATGATCTGACATGCTAAATACTGGTCTATCAATCTGCCATTTGAAGTTCTCTTCTTTCTATTAGGGTGACCATTAAAGTTCAATCGACCACCACACTAGTACCTTAAGTCTCTGGTGTCTTAGTTCGTCTTTCTTTCACATTCAGTGGATTCTTTGCTGTTATGTTGCTCATGGTTCTTAATTTTTACTTTATGTTTGATAGTCGGTGCTAGAGTTCATGTACTATCCGCTTTTAAATTAATTTTCTCGAATTAAGTTGGTGGACCTTTTTGGTGTATAGTTGTCTATTCATCCATTATAATTGTGACTGTAGATTGAGCTTTTGTGGGTTGACGTATGCAACTCGTACTACAAACCATATTTCTTGATGTGAATCATTTCTATTGTTGTGCTCTTTTTTTTTTTTTTTTTGTGTGTGTCTTATTTCAAACACTTCCTTCTTCCCTAGTTGGATGATTTCATCCGTGTTATATCCAATATCAAAGTTTTTCCTCTTCTGGACTCTGCTTTGTTTAACTGTATTTTTTTTACCCTTCCAATATGTATTATCTGATCTGTGTAACAGGATTGCTCAAAATAGTTCCCAAAAAATCAAACATCAATGACTTAACTGCACCACGGTCACTCAAAAAAAATTAGGAGCATTGATGCATTAGCCTTGCATCTTTGTCAATCGGCAAATTTTAACCCTAAATACTTGAACTCTGTATCAAGTTTATAAACCAAATTGCTAATATAGTCATGGAGGCTAATCAGATCAAACAATCGTGCGATCCATGCTTTTAGAAATTTGAACCTGCCTCCTTGGAAATTCTAAATCACAGGCTGCTGCACGAGCATATCGGTTGGGATCCAATTCAGATTTTCTTCTTGCTGCTAATTGTCATCCAGCTGTAGAGTGGGCTGAGGAGGAACCTGAAGTTGATCCTGAAGAACTTGCTAAGGTGCATCATTCATTGTCTTTTGAATTTTAAAACAAAGCTTATTAGAATCAGTCCATTGCAGCTTACTTTACCCGGTCATTTTTGCACTTGACAGACAAAAATAGCATTTGTTCGGAACTTTCCTACAGATGCTGATGAAAACTACTTGAAGAGATTGTTTGAGCCACTTGGAAAGGTCTGTCAGATTACAATCTTGATTCCTTTGAACATAATGATGCGTTTGTAAATTAGCTATGGTACAATAATCATCCCCTTTTCAGTTGGACAGAGTCGTACTATCTAAGAAGAGTCGCTCCCCAGTTGGGTTTGTTCACTTTTCCAAACGATCAGTAAGTTGCATTTATTCTTATTTATTTACTGCACCAAGTTTTGTTGCTATATTTCACTAGAAAGTCCCTGCTTCTGTTTTGCCTTTTTGCTGAAATTTCTGTTTTTAATATTTTGATAGAATGTATATTTAGGGAATCATTTGATAAAAGTACAATATTATCTAATGTATTTAATTCGATTTGAGACCAGATCAGTCTAGTGCATGCCTCTTCTGTTTCAGTGTTATCCAATAAATCTTATTGCAAAGAAGTACAATGTTATCCTAATATTGAACGTAAAACTCGATTATGTTCTCTTCTTGTTGAACTATCAGAGAGAAACCATGTTGTGCTTAAATTGCCATTTGGTTTTGTAAGTAGTCTTGGAAACTAGGGGACAAAAGGGTGCCCTTTCATGCCTCACATGTGTGCTTGTCTATTCAAGAATTCTCCGCTTGTAGAGTTTAGATAGTTTGCTGGCGGTTTTTCATTTATTTTATTTTATTTTTTGGTTGAGGGGGTAGTGCGATATTTAATTTCGGGGTATCTTTGTTGTGCTTAGTATTGCCCATGGTGCTTATCAATGGAACTTTCTGGATTGGGTCAAAGATACAGGCTTACCTTGTATGCTTTGAATATAAATTTTGGCTGATTGTTGTATTTTGATTTATAATTTCTTTGCCAAAATAATAAACATGATTCCTGTTTTATTTATTTATTTATTTATTTATTTTTTTATTTTTTTAAGAGTTTAGTGCACTTTTTCATTTTGGTCCCTTGTATATGTCATCCTATTCCTTAATATGACTTTTTTGGTCTTATTTTTTTAACAGCATGTCCAATGCACTGCTGTATCTTGCATTTTGTAATTTTTTTTGAAATTTTTGTGACGAGTATAGAATTGTATTAGATGGACGCCAAGGGATGTCACCCCGGTACATCAAAAGAAACAAAAGGAAATAGATACCATATAATAAACACTAAATGCCCTCCCCAAAATGTAACTGTCCTATAAAATTAACCAACAAAAAAGAGGATTCACAAAAGTCGAGTTGACTTTGTTTTTAATTCTGAATTTCGTGATGCTTTAGTGATAAATCTTCATTTTCTGTGTGTAGGACCTTGACAATGCAATCACGGAAATGAATGGAAAGGCAGTCCAGGGACCAAATGGAGGTCCTTCATTTAAGCTCCTGGTGATTTTAGAATTCACAAATATCCTGAAGTTGTATACTTGTTGAATTGCAATCTATTGATAAGATATCTGATTTGGAGTTGCACTGAAGGTCAAATATTTTTTGTGCTGACACTACACAGGTGGAAGTTGCAAGGCCTATTGGAAAAAGTAAGAAACGAGCTCGTGATGATCCTCAAATCAAACCAGCAAGTAAGATTTCAAGTCACTCTAAATTTTCAAAGGATGAACAGATCTTCAGTACTTCTGGTGGCCTTAAATCAGGAGCTCAAGAAATGAAGTACTCGCTAGAGGTTGATTTCTTTTGATCCTAATTTTTTAATTTTCCGCATCTATATTCAATGTTGTTGAGAATAATTTTTGTTTCAGTCGCACTATCATACTGTTAAAACATATGGTGTGTTTTTTTTTAATGTAAAAACAAATTGTAAAAACAAATATCTCAACTGATACTAATCCAAAAAGAAAAACAGATCTCAACTGAAGGTTATGACCTTGACAGTACTTCAATGAGGTTTTAATATTGGAAAATATTTGTGTGGAAGTGTGCATGTATTTAGGATAATTTGTAGGTGAAAATAATTGGAAAAATAGACAATACAAATCAAAAGGCAAGTGTTACTTGGTTCACCAGTGAATTCTGCCAAGCATCTCTATCTTTGCTGATGTACTGCTGCGCTGTTAATGCTGAATGCATGTTATTTTCTTCAGGAACCACTGGTTGCTGACCCATATGAAGCTGCTGTAGTCTCGTTACCTGTGGCTGTTAAAGAGCGTCTTCTTAGGATCTTGCGGCTTGGTATTGCTACTCGATTTGATGTAAGTCCTAAAGTTGTTTAACAGAAGAATTCATAGCCATGCACTGAGTCAGTTTTCTTGATTGCAGACATGCTTGAATGTCCAAAATAAGGAAAATCAATATACCAATTTATTACAAGTTTTGTCTGGGCTCTGGTACACTGACTTATTCACTGGGTTTTGCATCTGTTGGATTGTAGTCATTGGTGAACACAGTGCAAATCATTGTCACCTTTTAAGAAAGAGAATTGAACTAATTATAACCATTGGATCTCATTTGATTGCATGTGCATTAAGGGGTAAGCAGCTAACTAAAGTTGGCTGGTGAAAATATAACGTTGAAAGTAAAAAATTGCAACTTAAATGTATGTCTCTTGTATGTAACATATCGTTAACATATTGATAGTTAAGATTGGCTTTTCAGTGAAACTTTCTTAAGAAGTGCAGTTGGGTTTCTTCATGGATTAGGTCTGAAGATGATATATGATTAGCATAGCTGGTTGTGCATATTACAACAAATCTACAAGCGTAATTGTTATTGCCATTATATATAGCATGGCATCTGAACTTAGTGGGAACCTTGAAAGCATCCCCATTCATATTTTGAGAAAGCAAGACTTACAGAATGGTATCCCTTTAATTTTCCATCTATTGATCTACTTTTAGAAATGGAGGTTTCAACTATTCTCAAGGAGTAATAATTTCAACTAGAGCAAAAATCAACTTCAGTAAGTTGAGATTCCTTCTCTTATATGTATATTTCATCCTCTGAGACTAAAGGCTAGTATGCTCTCTAGACAGGATCTCCATAGCATTGGATTCTTTAATTGATAATCCAGAAAAATAAAAAAGAAATGGCATAAATGAGAAAAAAGTATTTAATGAAACTATTCCACGGAAGATTACAAATATTCTATTCCTGCAAATAAACTTGCACATAGAAATTTCTGGACTCAATGCCATTTGATGTGATTATATTATGCTTCAAATTGTATATGTAGATATGTAATGAGTTGATTAACTGAGTCCTTGAGTAGCAACTCAATGAGATTACTATACATTAAACAGTGTGCAATAAAGAGACCAAAATAGAAAAAAAAAAAAAAAAAAAAAAAAAAAATCAACCTAGGATGCATCTAGAGCAAACTTTTGCACTCTTTGTTTCACCTGTATGTGGGTTGATACATGTTGCATCCTTCTTTTGATCAGACAATTTACCATCAAGTGCTTAATATTGATTTTGTTCATCGGCAGATAAGCATTCAAAGTCTAACAAGCCTCAAAGAACTACCTGAATCTTCTGCTATATCTATCCTTGATCAGGTCCAGCATTGTTACATCTCCTTCCAAATTTTACCCCTTAGATAATTTTTGAGTGGACAGTTGTGCTTTTATTATATATATTGCCTTACATTTTCAATTTGAACACTTGAAGCCAATGCTTGCAATTCTTCTTTTGTGATCTCATCTTCCTGCATCTCTCTTTTGTAGTTCATGTTATCAGGGGCAGATAGGCTTAATAAGGGAGAGTATCTTGCTGCATTAATTTCTAGGGTATGTCTCTTGTTTCTGTGAATTGAACATACTATCTCTTCCATCTTAATGGACTGTTTCAATGACATGACTAATAATTTTGTGGACTTTATTCGTTCACTTGGCTACGGCAGGGTCAGCACCAGGTTGATAGGCTGGGACTCAATCACCATGCTTTGAATTTGTCAAGGATAGACGATATTACCTCAAAGGAGTTACAACTGTCCAGCTTCTCTAGTAGAGTTCATCATTCAGCTGTTGATCCTCTCAGTTCACGCATGGGCACAACTATGTCTGGGTTAGCTTTTTATACTCCCAATTTCATGCTCATATGGTTATTTCAGTCTTTTGGGCATATGACCAAATTTTATTTTGCACCATTTTGCTTGATAAGTTTTCCCCCCCTTCTTTTTTAGGTATGGCACGTATGCATCTCGCTATTCCTCTCCATTTTCAACTCATTCTCTATCTACTAGTCGAGTAGGCTTTGGGAGAATGGAAGAAACTAGTCCTGTCCCCTTGCACCGAACACCAGCTTCTTCTACATCTTATGGCAAGGTCGGATTGGATTCTACCCCAATATCTTCTGCTGCTAGTGATCGTCAACCTACACGAGCCCAAGTTAGGTTTGATCCTTTCACCGGTGAACCTTACAAATTCGACCCTTTCACGGGTGAGCCAATTGTTCCCGAGAGTATAACTCGCCGTTTTGGAAGCCCATACTGATTGAGTTTGAATTTCCATGTCATCACTTTCAGTCGCTCTGTGGTGCTTAGTAGATTTCCCGTTACTGATCAGATAAATGTTTGTACAATATGTTTTGGTTTCCAGTGGTTGCGCCGGAATCATGTTTTTTATTTTTATTTTTCATTTGTTTTAAGCTCTTGTTTTGTGGTAGTAAAAAAGTAATGCATTTATTTGCTTTAACTGAGCATGCCGTTAATTGAGCAAAATGACAAAAAGATTCTTATAACCGTGTCTTCTGATTTGTGGTGGTTACTTCGTACTTTTGCTAACAATGTGCGAGGACACCTCTTACATTAACCTAATGTTATTGAACTTAACAAAAATGTGCTCTAATTTCACTTATAAAATCATTGTTTGGATAAAAATATGGGAAAGCTATATTCACTCACTTTATTGTCATCTTGTGGGGAATGAATGTTATTTGTTAAAAAAATATCCTTGTTACATGAAAGTAGGAAGGTGATTATGCCCTTAAAATGAAATGCAACATTATAAAACACAATTTGAGTTTGATTTGTCATTTAAAAAATAAATTTGCATTTACATTTCATTTGATTTTGTTAGAGTATGAAATTTGAAAGTGTTGTACATTCTACATGAAGGGAAGTGTAATAAAGAGCATATAATTTTTTAAAATTTGTGTTAAATATGCTCAAATGACACATGTTAATAAGATCTAAAAAAATATATACATTGTAGAAAATATGATTGACCTAAAATTTGCATTACTTGGCACTAGAGTTTATTTATTTATTTATGTAGAAAAGAAGGTAAAGCATTTAATTTTTAGTGATGGCATTCTGCTCTAGTTAGGGTATTTGTTTATGCCCAATGTTTGTCACGAAACTCAAAAAAATTATTTAAAATTTCACATAATACTTTTATGGATGTGGCACCCACATTATACGGGTTTCACACTTACATGAATATTGTATAGAATTTTTGATAATTTTTTTAGAATCCCTAACACTTATATTACAAATCAAAGGTACAAGTTTCTTTCTCCCTTTGACGGGCTCTCTCTCACTTGCGTCACGTATTTAACTTTTTTTCAATGTACCAAAAATCATTATTTGAAATGTTTGTAATTAGTTTGAACTCTTATATTGGTTCTTATCTTTAAAATAATAAAAATAAAACAATTTAACATATTTTTTTTAGTATGTCAAATTTGACATCGCTAAGACGTGCCAAATTGACACCTCATTTTTTAAAAGCATAATTAGATGTCAAATGTTATTGTCAAAAGTGTCGCATCAGAATTGATAATTCAGATAAAGAAGCTCTTAATAGCCAGGTTAGTGCACATCCGTTAAATTTATTTTCCGTACAATTTTTACGCAAAGTTCAACTTTTGAAATTAGACTTCTAAGTCATTTTTAATCAATAATGCTAACATTTACATGCAAAATAGAATACTCAACCTCAAAAACAAACAATTATCACCAGTCACTACACAACACCCAAAAGATGACAAAGAATTAAAAAAAAAAAAAAATGATAAATGACAAATACACTTTATGAAATTTGTTTAAAATATAGATTTTTTTCTATAGTTTTAAAAAAATATTAATAACCCTTTATCAGGATTTTTTGTTTAACATAATTAGTAGAAAAAATAAAATTATTTACTACTCTCGTATGCAACAATAAAATTATCTGAATTGTTAATTGAAATATATTTATGATATTATTAAAAATTATTAATTGACTTAAGGTCATTTGTTATGCAATTAAAAATTGGAAGAGATTGAATGTAATTTTTAGAAATATACAGAATAATTTATATTTTAAATAAATTTTATAAAGTGTATTTGTAATTTATCAAAAAAAAAAAAAAAGGAAAAAGGAAAAAATGAAAGCTAGAATTGGTCCATGTTGGACAAAACAAGTGGGTCAGATGGGTTCGGACCAAAGGCGTCAGTATTAACCCACTCTTATTAGGGTGGCCAGCCAGTGGTGGACTCAGCCCCGACCAAAAAACAAAAGGAATAAAGCACTCCCTGCACATGCACTGACACCCCCTTAAGAAGCCATAAGAAAAAACAAAATTTTAAAGAATAAATACAAGAATCGATTATATAATTTTTATAAAGTGAATTTTATGGTTTTACACCTATGTAAGAAGATTACATTTGATTATGTAATTAATTTTTGTATAAATAAAAGAACTGTTAAAAAAAAAAAATGTTCAATAGTTAAAAATTAAAAGTGGTTATATATCACATCAATGATTTATGTAACACGTGAAAAAAAAATGTTACCTACATTGAATAACTGATGGATTAAATTACCGAGCACCTAAAAATTACAGATCCATGTATAAAGAAGGTGTGTTTCATTAGATATTAAATTTTTTTTTTATAATTTTTTTTTTATTGATTCAATTAAATAGATATACAAATAGGTTCCTCTATATACTCGACAAGTAACATCATTTCCTAACAGCACACAAAAATTTATAAAAAATCTCAATTACACCTACGTGGAATAGAAGCTAAGGTCTCACCACATATACTCTATGTACTGAAAATTAAGTCTTATCCCACCAAACAGGAGACTTGAATTCAAACATTAGAGATATACATTAATTCAGTGATTGAGATGGTGGTTTATGGTAGTTTTCTAGTGTTTGTTTTTTTGCGCCTAACTCTGGTGTTAGGCAAGTCATTATTTTAATCTTGAAGTTTGTGTCCACAATGTATTGAACATGTTATGGGGGAGCATTATATTATGCTTGTAGTGCAAATATATTTGATGACTCATATTAAATTTGATCGGTTAACATAATAAAATATGATACAGCTTGCTTAGTTCCATTTTTCAAAAAATACTTTTTAAAAAATTTTACTTTTTTATTTTTCGTATTTTTTTGTTTTTACTGAATTTTTTAAAATATTTTAAGCAATTTTTTTTTTAATTTTAAGACACACTTAACATAAATACACCTAAAAACTAAAAAAATTGTAAAAAAAATCTTTTAAAAATTTACTAAATACCAAAAATATAAAAAAATACAAGAATTCAGTACATTTTTTTTGTATTTTTATTTATTTATTAATTTTTTAAAATATTTTTCCACAAATTTTTTACTTTTTAGATACATCTAAGTAAGCTGCATCTAAAAAAAATGTTTAAAATTTTAAAAATATTCACTAAAAACAAAAAAATACAAAAATCAAAAAATTTAATTTTCAAAAAATTTAATTCAGAAAACTCAAACTAAACACACTGATAATATTTTTAGAGACAATAAAATAAATGTCTAAAGTAAATGGTCTGAAATTAATATTCTGAACCACCAAATAACTTTTCATGTTAAGGTTAAGACATACGAGACTAACACTAACATGGTTAATCTCTTAAATTTTATAGTATAATCTGATCAGATTTAAATTCACATGGGACCAAATAAATAAAATAATGCAGCCGCTATGTTTGAAAAAGAAGCTAAAGACAACATGAAAGAGTAGACTTTGTACATAATATGTACATAGAAATTAGAATTAATCTTTGGGAGGCAAAAAGTACATGCATTATATATTATATTATGCATAAGCAAAAAGATGAAAGATCAAGATATTTGCACCATTGCATGCTTAATGGTCTACCAAAACTTAACTAAAGACAAGTTTGTAAAGATTTTATTTATTTATTTTTTGGGGGTAAATGAGAAGTTTATTAAGCAATTCAAAAGAATAAAGATATTATGAGGGGCATACCTCCAAATACAAGAGGAAGAATACAAAATATATACTAATAAAAAAAATTCAAAGGGGAATAAATATATGTGCTAATGATATGATTAAAAATATTATCAGAAATGAGGTCAATTGTTACAAATCATCAAATTGTAATTGGAAGCTACAACAAAGTAAAATTGAAAGAAATGAGGTCAATTGTTGCAAATGATCAAATTGTAATTGGAAGCTACAACAAAGTAAAATTGAAAGAAGAGATGTGCCTTGACAAAATCACTAAAAACATCATCTCGAATTTGAACACAACTGTTTTGTTGGATTTTTATTTTTTATTTTTTTTGATAACTGAGTATCCGGGTTAGCGTTTTTTTAGGACGCATACCTCGACTATTCTTGGAGCTCTGAGCCGATCAACTCGGCTAAGAGGCAGTGGCCCACTAGTAATCTAGTTGGGGATGGGAATCAAATTCAAGACGTCCGAAGTTTACGGCTCGTTCCAGAGTTACTCTCCCTCAACCAACTGGACTACCTTTGTGGGTTGACTATTTCGTTAGATTATGTCTTTTATTGTTCCTTTGCAAACGACTTCAAAGTCAAGTTCCTTTGCAAACATCATCTCTAATTTATTTATTTATTGTTAAAGAAAAAAATGTATATTTTTTCAATTTAATAAATTTGTTTTGGTCATTCTTTGCATTATTTTATTTTATTATATTTTTGCTTTGAGGGATTTTGTTCTAAAACCCTTGAAGGTAAAAAAAAAAAGAAAGAAGAAGAAGAGGAGGAGGAGGAGAATATTGAGCCAAAAACATATCATTACAGACCAAAAAAAAGGTTAATTTTTAAGCTATTACCAAATATAACCTTAATTTGACGGCAAGTTTCTGTCTATGAATACAAAAGTTTTTTTTAGCAGCAACTTACATATTGTGTCATTTTTCAAGTTTCTTGTTGTCTTTAATTAACTTTTTAAAATTTTGAATAAAAAAAAATATATTTTTTAAGGTTAGTCTAGACAAGACTGTCCTAAAAACTAAACAAGGATACGTCAACTTTTTTTTAAAATAAAAATTAAAAAAAATTATTTTATTTTTGTCTTTAGCAATTTAATTTTTTTTTCTTAAAGGATCGTCTACTATAAATTCATATAAAAAAATTAATGTATATTTTTAAAAAGTTTATTAAAGACAAAAATATTAAGAGTCCGTTTGGCAAGGAAGATTGGGGCTAAAATAGTCACAAAAGACAAAATAGGTTATTTTAGCCACAACAAACAAAACATCACATCCAACCTATAATCATTACACTATTCTCTCACAAAAAAAGTCAAAAAAGCTAAAAAGCCAAAAAGTCTTTCCCAAACCAAGCTTTTTAGCCCAGGTTAAAATAGCCAAAAAAGCTAAAAAGCCAACCCACTTCCTAAACGGAGGCTAACTAGTAAACTAGTGTCAAGGAATGATTAATATTATTCACACTTCAATTTAAGGCTATAACACTCTTATTTTGTTGAGAGACTTATTTATAA